ATGATCAACAACTTGTAGAACTTAAAATTAAATATAATGTAAGAACCATTGACATCGAACGTGTTCGTGCATTCCAAAAGTCGATCGGATGTCCATGGGCAAGCAATCTTCCTCTTGCAGTGTTTACATATATTTTAAATGAAGGTTACGCGAAATATGGTGCACAAGAAATTGTTGCAAAGGGAAACGATATGGAACTTTTTCATTTTCTGTCTGCAGGACCTTTAGTGATTAATCTAGCATCAGCAAAATTGAAAAGTAATCTAAAGTTGATAGAGGACCTTATTAGAAATAAGAATTTTTTTCCTTTTCCTCCAAGGCCTAAAATAAAATATGAAGATACAAATAAGTACTCGCATCAATCACATACAAATGAAGAATATCCGCCCAAAGATGGGTATGAGAATAATAGACAGTTAAACGTTATTGCACGTGCCATTCTGATTCATCCGCCATTGGTAAATATGTGGAAAAGTATTGGATACATGGATATATGTGATGATGTTAATGATCTTGTGATGCAAGGTGGACTTTTAATCTTATTTCCTCCAACAAAAACTGACAATTGGGTTTGCCCAAGTGTAGATATAGTAACATTGAGGCTTAAAGAACTTACAGATCTTGGATTTAAACTAACAGTTGCAGTAATGTCCGATGCATTTCACCTTTTTGAAAATCGCCTTGAAATTATTGGTGATTCATTAATGGAATCATTTGAAAATGTACGGAATGAATCTAGTGCAATAATTGCAAGTAATTGCCTTGGAGATATCATTAAACCAGAAAAAAATTTAAAAAAACAAGATGTATTACACTTCTTGTATTCAAAGATTCATCAAAACAATAAAGAAGATGCTATAATGGAAATCTTGATTATGCATAAAGTTGGTCTTCATGAATTAGAAAATCCAGTGAAATATAGATTCCTTAATTTATCCCCCATATTCTACAGATGGGTTATTGAAATATTTGGTCCATGTTCAGAAATAACCAAAGTATGTTTTGATGATATTCTTGAATCTCGTGTTTGTGCAGATTTGTATCTTCAACAAAATCCTGGGCAAGAAATTCCTGGAGACATGAAGGATTGCACTTTTAAAGCTATTCTTTCTTTGTATCGTGATTATTGTAATGAAAAGGTGCCATTTAAAATCCAGCACTTGCAATATTTGACCAAATCTCGCGCGACAGATATAATTCAACCTTTCTTTGAAATCGCATTGCCAAATATCTTTCATCTCTACAAGGATAATGCATCAAAGAATAGATCTAAC